TTGTAATGGCAAAGGCACATTTTTACTATTACTGTCCTGAAAGTTATAGATAAGCTTCCATGGACCGACTGAAATACTAGTCATCTTTATGTAAAAAGTTGATCTTACGAGAAGTTCACGGACTTGAGTAAAAGGATATAAGAAATAAAATGCGGATTTCAGTAGCCTTATGATAATTTTTTGAAAACTTTATGAAAGGCATATACCTGGAGTATTTTACGCACCACCATAAAAGTCACGATAGATAAATGCATTTGTTATGATCATGTGCTGAAAATGACACCCAATCATCAGCTCGCCACGTCCTCCAGCGGGCGAAAAACCCTGAACGACCAAGTGCTGGCAATCGCAAGCACATACGAGCTCTCGGCATCAGCTCAAGGTTCTGCTGAGCTGACAGGAAGAGCCCATGACCAATGGGGGGGGGGGGGGGGGGTAGCAGAGCAGCCAGAGTGCCCCGGCCGATTAACAAGTGGGGTTTTCGTCGACAGGAAATCTGAGACAATCTCTCTGAGAAAATGGGGAAACCCAAGTAAGGCCTGTGTCTACCTGACATCACCTGAACCTAGCATCATTTACGTCATTCCCTGTCAGAAAACGCATTCTTTTCTGTAAAACTAAAATCGCAATACCGAGCCTCGGCCCCTGGCTGGCGTAGAACCATCACAACATCACGCGGTAACGATGTAAGTTTTATGGCATTATGACGGCGATGAAAATGTTTTGATTTCAGTTTGAATCCATGTCTTCCGAAGAAGATCACATGCCTAACAGTGCTGGCGGAGAAGTAGTACATTGATAACACACGATTTTGCCTTGTGTGGGTACGGTGGGCAGCAGCACCATTTACCGCACCTATTCTTCTTTATAGAATGCAATATTTACCGGCAGTATGATTCTGAATCGGGTATGCCAAGAAAACAATGCTTTGGAATGTGAAATCTGTTAAGCCATTTCACGCATCAACTAGCATGAGCCCCAGCTGCCTGGTGCTGCTACCCCGCACAGCCCAGCATGACGTCGCGGCTGGAGGGCGCTAACCCACTGCGACCTGGCCAAGTCTAGCTGGCCCTATGCTGGCCGACCTGACTGGACTTACCTGACGCTCTGCTGGCGGACCTGGCCGGGTTTGGCTAGCGTTTTGCTGGCTGACCTGGCCGGGTTTAGCTCACGATCTGCTGGCCTAGTTCAGCCCGTCTTCCGTGTTGCTCGGAGGAACGTATCATCATCCCGGGGAGAGCTAGAGTGCCACCATCTGGTGGCGACCAGGCGAAATTTGAATGCGGTGAAGTGCCGCACGCCATACAGATCCTCCGTGACCCCGCGGGTTCACAGCGTAGTGTGTCACACTCGGTGAAAACATCGGGATAGCCGCGACTGCGGCGTCACGTGGATGGACAGTGAAAATCGGTGTCCACATCGTTGGGAAATAGCGTCCTCCGGGGTATTTCTGTAACCCCCCTCCGCGTTCGCAGCGAAGTTAATTCTATTGTTTGGATATCTGGACTCAGCTTCCAGCTTGCTCCACCAGCGCACTGCAGTATCTTGTCATTACTTATACTGTGCTACAAGATTGAATGTATGGTGGATCTGTTAGAAGTAAGGAAACAACAGGTCGGTTACAATATAAAGAGAATATTCCGCATACGAATATACTAATACAACCATCAGATATGATGAAATAAACTCACCTGTAACTACAGCTCTACTTTAAGTGAAGAAGACCGCTTTGGAGAACAGCAGACTAAGTGGAAAAGATTGCTCTTGACAACACTTCAAAAAATGTTCCTCAATGCGTCGTTGCTTGATTGCGGTATCGCAGGTACCCTGCACAACATTGATTGAGAGCCAATTGACCGCTGTTATATTTGGAAAGGGCACTCACGAGGGCCAGATATGAACAACTGGAAAATCATATATTTCTTGGCTCTGATTGCCACATGGCCAATGGAATGGCAAGATTTGAACAACGTTATTATGGCGTCATGGATGCCTGGGTGACCTTGAGGCGGTCTGCACGAGATAAGCAGCGCACATTCGCATGCGTGTAGCTCAGAAACAAGACGGGTTTAGGTCTAAAGTAGGGCAGGGCCCTGATCTGCACCGAATAATCTTCAAGCTGGCTATTTCAGCTCAAAACCCCACGCAAATGTGAAACACTCCCTTTGGCGGTGGCGCGGTGCGATCCCAGGCGATGTAACAGTAGACGACATCCGCGTTGTCTTTGACAGTCAGGTTTCGTTTACCCTCTCCACGATGGCTTGCGACATGGTCCTGCCAACAGTGACTCAAGAATTTGGGCATGACGTCAACGTAGGTCTTGAGAGTATAGGTCTGCTGGGCACGGGTCGTGAGGGCGTAGGTCTGCTGGGCGTAGGCCCAATGGGTGTAGTCAACATAGGCCAGTGAACGTAGGCCTCCTGAGCGCAGCTGTCTCGAGGACGTAGGTCTCAGCCGGGCGTAGATCCTGTAAGCGTAGGTGTTCTGGGTGTAGTTGTCAATGACATAAAGACATCTGGCTACCAGAGAGCCACAATGGTCCACCGAGGTTGGCCTACCTGGGTTCCGCACGCATCCTCGAAACTAATCTTGTCACCTAAACTGCCTGAATTTAACTACTGTGAACATAGGCGTTTTTGTAGTAAGCATTTAGATGTTTGTTGCGAACGAAAGCGTTCTGAACGTAGGTTTTGTGAGTGAAAGTTTCCTGCGCATAGGCTTTCTGATCGTAGGTCCTCCGAGCTTGGGTTTTGTGAGCGTAGGCCTCGGGGGGCACAGGTCTCCAAACGCCTCGCCAGCTAATTAAATTCGCCCTTTTTACGGCTCTCCTGGAATAGTAGCACAATGGCTGCGCGGCTGAGACATTTGATAGCTGGATTCTGTAAAATGTGTATTTTGGTATGTTGGGAGGGTAGTTTTGTTGTTTTATTGATTGTCGCTGGCATGGCATAGGATCGGATCCGATGGAGGTGCTTTGGCGGTAAATGTACATTCAGTTCATTGTCGAAGACTTTGTGACACCAGCGGGGTATATATACACACCGCGTGCTGTCCATTTGTCGACGTCGCGAGGTCATCGGTATTCGTAACTTCTGTGTTCGGGGAATCCCAGCATAAATATGGCTCCACTTCACAGATCACGTATCTATCAGTGGCATATTAAATTTTCACATGGCCAAGATTTGATGCGAGACATTTGTATTTGTTGCCTGTCATAATTGCTTGGCCAACACTTATGTAATGCCAAGAATGTTGTTTTTGTCATTGTGCAAAATCAATCAGTGGCATGTTACATGTTCACAGGGATAGAATTTGGCACAAGACATTTATATTTGTTGTCTTGTGTTATTGCTTGTCCAGCACCATTACATAATGCCAAAAACGTTTTCAGGGAATTGTGTGTGTGTGAATTGTGTGTGTCACCCCACATCAGCAATGCCTTGAAGCCTTTCTGGTACTTTCTGGCACTGAATGTAAGAACAGTGGTTTGGTAACTGCATTGATATTCTAAATGATGCATGTTATGACAGAGGCTGCCATCAAATCAAGCCGAAAGCTTGAGCCATCATAATTTGTGTTGCTGAATAAACCAGTCACAGATGCAATATAACTGCAGATGCATCAGCTATAGGTGATGATTTGATATATGTGCACACCATGGCTTTCAGCTTTTTGATGTCTCAAACTCTCAGCTTGATTTGGTTGCAGTCTGTCATGCCTTGCACCATTTGGATTATTGATGCAGTTGTCCATACCATTGTTTTTATTTGCATTTCAGTTGCTGTCCTCAGCAGGCACTAGAAAGCTTTTAAGGTGCTGCTGAAGCAGGGGGATTTTACTCAATGCCCAGATCAACATTTTTGGCATCATGTAATGTTAGTCAAGCAATTATGATAGATAATAAATCAGAATGTGTCAAGCCAAATGCACCCATGTAACACTGTAACATGCCCTTGATATATATGTGATCTGCTCAGGTGGAGCTTTCTTTATGCTGGGATTGGTCTTAGCAAGCCACAATGTCATATAAATAGACATGTTTACATTTTGGGAGGCAGTTTCTGCCAAGTTGTATGCCCAGCAGCTCCCACATGTTTATTGTAATTGTGTGATGTAGCACTAGTGACATATGAACAGCACAGAATGTGGAGGGGATTCAACTCCTTGCTGTAACTGATCATTTCCACCTTTCATTGCCATATTGAGCCTTCACAGAATTAGAGGGGCAGGGTGGGGGTTGGGGAAAGGCATAGTCCCCTATCACCTCCCCTGGCCTCAGGGTTATTTGCTATATTATAAACAACTGAGCAACAGGTCCTTGTTCCACATTTCCACAGGTTACCTTTTGGCATGGTTATGATATATAGAACTTGATGTCTTCCTTTTCTGCATCTCACTTCTTGCTGCAGGTCCTGTTCTTAGCAGTCTGACAGTTTTTGTTAGAGAGCATGTCATGTACCTATTGACTTGTGTACTTATGACTAATGCCATCCTTATGGCTAGTTTAATTTATCTCTTTTTTACAGACTGCAGAACATGTTGCCTCCAGCCCCAGACTGCAGTGTTTTTAATTATTACCCTCAAGTTGGGCAGTATTGCCCATGTGACCTGTAAGGCTCTCTGGGGAGTTGTCTGGGTGACAAAGTGAGGAATACTGCTGTGCAGAGAAGCATCTGTTGGAAACTGCATGGTGACACTGGGACAGCCAGTTTGCTGCTGGGTCAAGGTGGCATACATCTGATCAGAACTGCAGCACAACACACCTATGTGGGTGGCTCATCCCCACCCACTGTGAAGCACTGACCATTGAGGAGTAACTGAAGTGCTCCATTGAAGTGGCCATACTCAACCCAGCACCACAAAAACCTTCCCCAAAATCGCCGTAGCGGTGCCCTCGAGGGAGTCAGCATCGACCATTTCAAACCTCTGAGCGCCACCGTGCTGTAAGGGGCCCGCAGCCCTCCCAGCAGTGCTGGAGCGCGGCGCGCGCGCCCACCGCCATGACCTCCCACTGGAGCGACCCGTCGCTGGCCACGGACGGCGGCGGCGTGGCGCCAGCCACCGCTCGCCGCCACTCGCTCCTCACGCCGGCCGACCTGGAGTCGGAGGCGCCGCCGCCGGCGCCGTCCGCGCCGCTCCCCACCGTCGAGTGGGTGGAAGCCTGGCTGAGCGGCTGCCTGCCGGGCCCGCGACGGCGCCGAGACGGCGTCGACGCGGCGCGCCTCGGCCGCCGCCGACCCCGACGCCGACGCCACCGACGCCGACGAGGTGCGCTCAGCCAAGAGCGACAGCGTCTGCTACCAGCTGCAGCCCATCGGCGTCTTCTGGGACATCGAGAACTGCCAGGTGGGACGGCGGCGCGGCCGGGTCCGCGCAGACCGGCCCGGCGAGCGGGCGGCGCTGATCTCAGCAGGCGGGGCGGACGGCGCCGGATGGATCGCCACGTGGTCGTCCTCTGTCGCCGCGGTCTACGGCAGTGGTTTGGCAACTTCCGGCCTTGGGTCGTGCACTGCTCCCCGTTTTCCGTCGGATTATCCGTTGTCTGGACTGTGCTGTTCTTTCTTGCCTCTCGTCGCTGAGAAGCTGAAAAGTCGCACCGCCGCAGGCGGTCAAATGATGACAACAGCCACCCTCGTCATTGTCACCCTGTGACACCTGCCTGGCCGTTCCCTGTGACGTCATCCGAGTCTCCCATTGTAGCGCACGCTGACAGCACCGCCATTTTTGGCGGGCCCGACCTACCCATATCCACCCGGCCCGTCACCGGGTCTCTCCGGAACCGCAGGTGCCCCGCCGCTGCTCGGCCCGCCGACTTCGTCTCGCTCATCCGGGAGCAGTTCTACACCAACTGCTGGGAGGCCGAGTTCATGTGCGCGTGCGACGTCAGCAAGGTGTTCCCGCCGTCACTGCAGCAGCTCAACGACGCTCAGGCAAGCGGTCGGGGCGCGAGCGCACCGCGCAGAAACACTGGCGGATCCGGAGATTCGGACCCGGAGATCTGGATCTGGAAGTCTGGACCGGAGATCCGGATCTGAAAATCCGAGATGGGAACATCCGGGTCCAGAAATCCGAGATCTGGAGATCCTAGATTTGGAGATTACATAGAGAGGGATGGAGAGGAGGGGGCGAACTGGGATGTCAGGAGGGGGAAAACAACGTGGGTGGGCTGGGTTTTTTGGGTCACTACTAGGTTGCCGATGACGCGCGCAAAACACTTCTCCGAGATTGCGTCGGAGGTGATGTTGCCAAAAAGTGATACGTTTCTACCAAAAAGCGAACAAAATGTGTCAAGATATTATGCAATGGTGCTGGATATAAGTGCAAGGCACACTTGAACGCCAAGGTACAAACGCATATGGGTCTCAAGGGATGTGTATTGGTTGATTTGCCAAGGTGTCGTTAGAAAGTACGGACGTCGACCCAAGTTCGTGAGCAGGTAACTGCGGCATTGGTTCACACAATATAAGCGCCTGCTGGTGCTCGTGGCCCACATGTCTGACATCGCATGCTAGATGCACGTGACACACGTGTCGCACGCCCTCTCGCGCCAGGTGAACGTGATGCACGTGCCGGCCACGAGTAAGAACGCCGCCGACGAGAAGGTGAAGCAGAGCCTGCGCCGCTTCTCTGATCAGTACCCAGCGCCGGCTACCGTGCTGCTGATCACAGGCGACATGAACTTCGCTCCCGATCTCACCTTCCTGAAGCACAGGTGAGATGCATTCGATCTCACCTTCCTGAAGTGCAGATGAGATACACTTGATCTCATCTTCCTGAAGCACAGGTTAGATGCACTTGATGTCATCTTCCTGAAGCATGGGTGAGATGCACTAGACTTCACATTGCTGAAGCACAGGTGAGATGCGCTCAATCTCACCTCCCTGAAGCACAGGTGAGACCTCACATCGTGCCTCTTTTGTGGTGAGCGACACGCGTGGATGACTCACACACGCCGATCTCACTTTTTTCAACGCCAGGTGCGGCCCCGTCCTCTGCACCTCATGTTCCTCAAGCGCGTGTGACGCCCAGGTCCATTTGATCTGAACCCCCTCCCCGATACGGACGAGGCACTTCCATCGCGCGCTTCACTCCTTCTTGCGCTCCCTGGCATCGAAGAACGTTCGTTGGCGGGATTTATTAAAAAATATCTATCGGCTAAGTTTGTTCTTTAGCTCCGTGGCACATTGCCTTTCAGACTTTTGCTATTATTTTGTTTGTTTTGCGTCGGGAATGGACCCTGTACAATAAGCAACTATGGCCATTAGCTCAACCATCCACAGCGCCTGTTTTGACCAGAGAGTTTGTGGTGCGTCCAAGCCACGGCCTTCCACCGCTCCACCTTCCACCCAGCTCAGCTGCAGTGTGCGCTGACCCGGTGACCCGACGGGGGCGGTGCGTGCCGTGGCGTGTCTGCGCGCGCCCCACTGATCGTCCAACTCGGCTGCCGTGCGTTGCAGGAAGAAGCACAGGGTCATTCTGATCCACAACCGGCAGGCGCGGCCGGCGCTGCTCAACTGCGCCGACGAGCGGCATCAGTTCGACGACCTGCTGGCGCGCCTGCCCGACGTCCGACAGCAGGTCAGGTCGGGTCAGGTCGGCCGGCGCCGAGGGTCGGCAGGTCAGGGCACGTCCTGTGGCGGGTCAGGTCAGGGAATGTACGACATTGGGTCAGGTGGGGTCATCGGGCGCCCGAGGGCCGGTCAGGTCAGGGGACATCGGTGTACTCTTGTACTCCTGATGTACTCTTGACTACCGGTGTACCGGTGATGTACCGGTGTACTCTCGATGGCAGGTTAGGTCGGGGGATGGACCCTGGTAGTATTAGGTCAGCGGACACGTCATATGTCAGGTGATGTCAGCAGGTCACACCCGACGTATTGTCTGAAGAGCTTCGTTTCCGTGGTTCACCGGGTGGGTCATAGGTTAAGTGGTGGTTAATGAACAGGTCGAAGTCAGATAATGGAGATGGAGGGAATGGAAACCGTTACAGATGCTTGAAACCAAAAAGCTAGAATACAAACCAGTTTGGCTTCGGTGATGATTTGACCTGTATCACAATAGGTGAGTGCGTCGAAAGCTGTACCATTTATCAGCCCTTTCTTACGGGCGTCAGCACGCATTCAGTTCACTCTCGGCTGTGGATGGGCTCTGTCGTACGTCATCATTCGGTGACCTGTGGTAATGTCTGCATCCGCCGTTGCCCACTGGTCAACATGCTTTTGCGCTGGGATCCTGCAGACCATCCGTTTGCTATCGCTTCTCTCCTTATTGGCCTCAGCCGCAGTAGGTTTGTGACTAAAATGCAGATTAACGGCTGGCAACAGCCACTGTACATTGGGCGCTGGCGCCTAACCCATTTATCGACGTTTTCACCATTTTTTAACTTTGGCCACCACGTGCCATCTTCTTATGTCCGTTGCACGACAAATTAGTTATTTCTTTGGTGACTTTTAAAAGTGAAATAACAATATTCGCTCCTCTGAGATGGTGTGGTTAAGTATGTAGACCATTTATTATTTTGCAATATTATTTTCATGCATTTATCAATTCTTTTACATCATAATTTTGTTACTGGCAGTATATACGGTATGCTAATGTTTAATTGACAAATATACGTCAGTTGATATGCGTAATGCTGCGTTCCTTTACATGCCGTGCACATTTGTTCGTTTATATGTTATATCTCATGTTTTCAACCATTTTACATTTGACGCAATATGTTACATCTTCATTTGTTTGTACTGTTTGTGTCATGTATGCTATTTAGATTGGTTTACTTTAGCGTCATCAATGTATATGGCTGGTCGCATAACCCAGAAGTCGAGAGCCTGTACACTGCCGGACCGCAGCCTGAGAGTGGGGCCGTGCCGTGACGCACCGCGTGCGCCCGCCGCAGGAGAGCCGCGGCGGGGACCGACTGTGCTGCCACCTGCGGCTGACCGGCCTGCCGTCTGGCGGCGCCGGCCGCAAGTCCAAGGTGGTCAACGAGATCCAGAAGCTCGTGTACAACTGCGGCGGCCGCGTGGAGCGCGTCAACCTGACGGCCGGCGACGCCATCATTGTTTTTTCCGTCGCCTGGCAACGCCGCCAGGTGAGCTGGCCGCTCGCTGCGGGCGGCCGGAGACGGCGGCTGCGTGACCCGGAGGCGGCGCGCGGCCAGCGCCGCCGCGGACACACTGGACGGGTGCGGTTCACTCCGCGAGAGGGCGTGGCTCCGGTTACTGCCATGAGTGGCGATGACGATGAGTGCGACCGCTACAGGAGTCCTTAAACAGTTCAGCAGCTCTACTGCGGACATGGGTCCGCGCTGTTGTGGAGGTCCTGGATGTGACGGGTTCCCCGCAGTGGGGACCGGACGCGGTAGCCTGAGGGATATGGCGTGACGTGACGTGACGTGACGGTGGCGTGACCGTGGCATGACATGAACGTAACCGCGACGTGACGTGACGTGACGTGACGGGACGGGACGGGACGGGACGGGACGTGTTGGTTTGAAAGTGCGTGGAGGATCGCACCCAAGCGCAGCAGTGGGTACCAAGTGCGGTTGGCTTTGCTGTTCACGCAAGGACATTGAGCCTTAAATATTGTCATCGGGTATTGGTTAGCAAGCAAGGACAGCTCTTATTTTATGTTCTCATCTCTTTTTTCTCGTGCTCTTCTGCGCTTGACTTCAGAAGGTATTCGACTTTGATCCGACGTTAGAAACTGTTACGTAAGGCATTCGCCCTTATTTGGGTGACACGAGCGTGACACGAGCGCCCCGGTGTGATACGAGCTGGGCGTCATATGTGACAAAGAAAGCACATCTGTAAAATCAATTTGTAGATGCTCGGGGACGTCAGGGCCGAGTGGTTAGCGCATCGGACTCCCTCATGGGGGCCCGGGTTCGAATCCCGCGGGCTCACTGTCACTGAGCACTGTATGGCCAATGTAGCCCCTGGCGCTCCTTAAACGAACGCGGGGACGTGCGCCACGTTTTCGTTAAAAAAAACCGTACGGAGGATGGTGTACGCGGGCGGCTTTGAGATAGCGGAGCTTCCGCCTACGGTGCATCGGATGACGTCGTTCACGACGCACTAGCTTAGGCTCCGTGACGTCGCCTGCCTCTCAACCTGGCAGAAAGGGCGGACACCGAGGGGAATCGAACCCCGTACCTCTGGTTTACCAGACGCGCAAAAGTTCTCCGAAGGGTTTGGCTCCGGGCGTTTTAGCACGGTACTGACGGTCACCATGTGCCAGGCTGGCCGACCTTGTGCTAGTGTCAGCTGACCTTTCCGTGTCCGTGTTTCCAAACAGTCTTGAGCATTGGTAACGGCACTGAAAGCGTCAATTCCGGTGGTTTGATATGGTGGTGCCCTGGGAGTAGAACATTGCATCAGTTCTTACAGTACCGAAATATTCCTTTTTAAATACCCAAAGATAGCTCGGGAAAGCTTTTGGTCAACCTCCGCCGACATTAGCTCGCACTGAATCAGATCACTTACTTTGCTCCAGTTGTATAGTTTGCACGTTTGGTTGCATCATTGTAAAGGCTCTGACAGCTGCGGCTGTAGCATGAAAACATGCTGTGGCCTAAACGCGTTAAATAAACGAAGAAAAGGGATTGAGTGTACGAACAAAGTTAAACATAGCACGCACTGCTTGTTTGCATAATGACTTGTCGCTCCTGGGGTTATTGGTGTGCATTGAATGAGTCGAGCTTTACTGTCGCGGATATGTCTTCAGTTGGACGGCGTTGAAGCGCTCGGAAGGAGCTAGATTTAACCAGGTATGGTCCCTGGACGGATTAACGGAGCGCCAGTCTGTTGCGGTCCGGACGGCGCGAACCCCACGCTTCTTGGTGGGAATTCCGCCCTTGCGTCGCGCGCGGCCTGTGATTGGCGCTGTCCATCCGGCGCCCGAGGCGCGAAAGGTCAACCCCCGCCGTGACCCCGGGGTCAGACAGTGTCAGGCTGGCGCGCGCCGTGTCACTGGCGCTGCCCGCCGAGACCTGGCCCTGTTCAAGGCAGCCGCCTGCCTTGTGATTAGTGTTTTGGAGGTTTCCATGGGCTCGTAGAGGGCGTGGGGTTTAGCGTACGAGCTACGTTTTTGTGCCGGCCTGGTTCGGCGGTGGGTGGGCGCGCCGTTACCGACAGACATACCCGCGTGTCCTGGTGCGGGTGCGCCGCTGGTAAGTGATCCCGCGCCCACCTGTCTCGGCTCGGCAGTCAGTCCTGTGCTGTTGAAGACTGGATTGGCAGCTAGCGTGTTTAGGTTGCCGACACCGCTCCGCCCTGCCTCATGGTAGCAGCTTTTGAAGCGTCATTGTTTCCTCAGGTGTGTGTTGGATTTCAGGAGGATTGTGCTGTGTGTTGGATTTGGTTGCATTGTGTTGGATTTCAGGAATATAACGACCTGTGTTTTGTCGAAGAGAGACGGGGAGGGGGGGGGGGGGGAAGTCATGCGCCATATGCGAAGTTGATATGTCGCGGTGATGCTTCCATTACTATATTTTACATTGCTTAACAGCGCTATGGCCATGTGGATCGAGCTGTGCCTCATTTATTTGGGATATTGCCCACTTTGTACACGTTTCGTCTTGTTATGTTTATTAGATATCTCGTATAATTACATGTTTCTCATTGTCTTTATTTGTCGTTGTCATTTCAATTACATGTTGTCTCATTTATTCGGGAGATGCCTTTGGACTGGAAAGCTGTTTTTTTTAGAGTGCGTCTGATCATTTTGGAAAAACTGAAAGTGGGAAGTGTTTCCTGTGTAAAGAAAACGACTCTGTTCATTGGCATCGAGGAGGGATTTCCCAGAAAATCTCCGACGCTTTTCCTTCATAGCTCCTTTTTATATTAGCTCCTATATTACATGAGCTCCTTGAGTATGACGAGGAACGCAGCAACAACAAAAAAATAGGAGGAACGGGTATAAAAGTGATCAAAGTTGAGGGGATGGGGTAGGGTCGAGGGGCATTGGTTGGATTATGCAAACCAGTCGAAGCATCACGATTTAATGCAGTGCAACAGCCAATGCTTGTGCGACATTCAACCTTCCACCTGCGGTAGTATTATATAACGAACAATGAAAACGAAACGTTCCATAGTTGATGGATGGCTCCGCTTCGATTTTGGCAGTCTGCTTCCGGTACTCGCATTTCGCCGGTGTTAATTCATGATGATCGATGCTGGCGGTCCTGTAGCGTTGCTCGTTTAGTAGGCAATTGAACATGTCATGCCGGCGTGAGTTTATTCCGTATGGTCATCTGTGGTTTGATGACTTCCTCCCGCTACTTCCTTGTTTCTGCATGACAAATGTGTCCCTGCTTATTTTCGTATCGCCAATGAAAACCTTAATGGTCACACTTTCCCTGGGTGTTTCTTTTCGTCTCGTCAGTAAATTCAAATAAGTGAACGATTGCCCCTTATGGTAATGTTAAGATTCGTCTAGACAACGCCCTCTAGGCACCTGGTGTTTCTGCTTCATCAGCGGGGCGAAGGTTGCCGCATGACGTCATGCCTCGATGACCGAGGCCACCTGGTCATCCACCTGGCCTGGTCCACCGATAACGGCGCCATAAACCCATCTGTTGGTGTGGCGCTCGTTACATCCGCGTATTTCCCTGTATGTCTTGTTCTATGACGTCACCGCCGTTTGGCCATGCTCTGTGTCAGTTCGCAACCCCAGCGTTACTCCCCCGCCATGTTTCTGCATCACTGTTGCCCGCTGTTTGTTGCCTCGCTGTTTGTTGCCTCACTGCTGCCCGCAGTTTGTTGCCTCGCTGTTGCCTGCTGTTTGTTGCCTCACTGCTGCCCGCAGTTTGCTGCCACACTGTTGTCCGCTGTTTGTTGTCTCACTGTTGTCCGCTGTTTGTTGCCTCACTGTTGCCCGCTGGTTGCTGCCTCGCTGTTGCCCGCTGGTTATTGCCTCACCGTTGCTCGCTGTTTGTTGCCTCGCTATTGCCCGCTGTTGGTTGCCTCACTGTTGCCCGCTGTTTGTTGCCTCACTGTCGCCCGCTGTTTGTTGCTTCACTGGTGCCCGCTGTTTGTTGCTTCACTGGTGCCCGCTGTTTGTTGCCACACCGTTGTACGCTGTTTGCTGCCACACCGTTGTCCGCCGTTTGTTGCCACATTGTTTCCCGCTGTTTGTTGCCACACCGTTGTCCGCTGTTTGTTGCCACCATTGTTTCCCGCTGTTTGTTGCCACACCGTTGTCCGCTGTTTGTTGCCACACTGTTGTCCGCCGTTTGTTGCCACATTGTTGCCCGCTGCTTGTCGCCCGCCGTTGTCGTTGTTGCCCGCTGTTTCCGGCTGGCTGCCCCGCTGTGACGCCAGTGTATGGTGTAACCCAGGGCCAAGCACCGACTACACCACGTGGTCATCTGCGGGTCTCAGACGTTCGTGCAGTTCCACTACAAGACCGGCCAACGGTCCCGGCCCAGCCGGCTCTCCTCCAGCGGCGGTGAGTCGGCCCTCTGGTGTTCAACCACAAGGGGGGACGGGGGGAGGGCTCAGCTAACCGGCCGCCGGCGGGAGGGCGGCGCGCCTCGGTCATTGTGCGTTCTCGTTTTACCAGTTGAATGGCTGTAATTTGTGGCAGCAGTGGTATATAAAAAGAACCGTAGCATGACATACACGAAAGAATTGAGATAAATATTCGAAGAGGAGCTGCAGATATTTGCGCAAGCTTTTCCCCCCAGTGGTGTTGATTGAGGTTTTTACCGAGAAAGCCATGTGAAGTGTAGTTTAATGCCCAGTGTGTCTTTTACTAGCAATCATGCCGTATATTTTACATCCGGTAGATGTCTCCCGAAGGGGTTCCCCTCAATGTTCTGGAATAAAAGCCTTGTGCTGGAACAGCGCTGCCGCCGCCCGTACACTGGCTCACGCGCTGTGCGCGCGCCACCAGAGGTCGCCATGGTGCAGGAGAGCGGGCCGCTCTCGGCCGAGGGGCGGCCGCCGGCCACCGGGCCGCCACTGTGGTCCCCGGCGCCGCGCACGCGCAGCAGCTCCGTGTCGACGCAGACGTCGCCGGAGCCGGGCGGGCCGGCCGAGGCGGTCGAGTCGCGGCCCGACTCGGCCGCCTCGGTGGCCACCCAGACCTCGCCCGACGGCCGACTCACGGTCAGCAGGTGAGCAGCCGACCCGACCGCTCCGGTAGTGGGTGTGCGTGCCACTGACTAGGCGTGTGCACGCAGGCAGGCGTGCTGCGTACTTGCGCGCCCAGACGTTTGCCTCCAGGCAGCAGCAAAACTGCTCATATCCCAGGATTTAAGAACGGCTGTTGGCTTGGTCGTGGTTGTTTAGGCTGTTTGGGTCAGAGCCCTCTCATCAAGTCATAATCATTGTAGGGCTTTGGGATGAACGTGAGTGGATAACGGCATGTTCTCCCTCTGAAGCTGAATCATTCCAGCCTTCCTGCATTGAAGGGTGCCTTGCTAACTTGGAAACCCTCGAGGTCCTCTATTTTTTGGGCCAGGGTCTTTTCCAGCGTCGGCCATTGTCACTAAGTGAGACTTCTTTTGCAGCTTGGAGAGCTCCCCAAGTACCGACGCGTCCCCCCGTCCTACTGACCGAGCATCAGCACCTCGCCACGACCAAATCTTCAACCAAAGGTTCTCTGGTCATCCGACAGGCGGCGGTGGCGGCGGGCAGTTCGGATCGCCGCGGGGTGAGACTCTTCAGACGATCTACGTCATTTACTATGAAATAGCTTTGTTTTGTTTAGCTGTTAGTACTGATGATGCCTACTGATTTTGCTGTCTGTTACTGACTTAGCTAGCATGGCATACATTGTGTGGAAAATCTTAGACTACCGAAGTTGAACATTGGGTTTAATCTCTTCTATTGGATTTGCAAGCATGTTTGAGCCTTTTTTGGGTGCCGACAGCTTGTCGTTAGCCTCGTATGAACGTAACATTATAGCATCCGAGAATGAGCCATGCTCATCTCTTTTGTGTACTGGGTAAATATTGCCCGAGTCAAGGTGCAAAAATTGTCGGAAGTCAGTACAGAAAACAGATTAGTTATGCTCCATATGCATGAATAAAACATCTTGCCTTTGATATCTTTTTATCGGCCGTTTGCTTACACGGTCTGTGAGGGGAACGTGGTACATTTGTAGTGTAGTGTGATTTTGGATGGCCATGTTTTTTACAAACCATGCTTAGTGATGACCCTAAGGCTGCAGCTGCAAGTAGTAATTTTAAGTTTCGAAAATGTAAGGTTGAGTGCTGTGGAGCGTATCAAAGTGTTCAGTGAGTCCAAATAATGTAACATTTAAAGTCGTGAAGTGTAGCTCTGTTGCGCGCGAAATGCATTCCCGGCCGGCTTGTGCACTGATTGGTCATCCTCCCAATAACCCGTCTATAAATTCGCCGATCTGTCCGTGATAAGTGCGACTATTGGCCGCCTCTCCGCCTGCCGTATGCTGATTTGGCCGACCCGCCGCCGGCCGCGCGCTGATTGACCGACCCGCCGCCGGCCACGCGTTGATTGGCCGCCTCTCCGCCGGCCCCACGCTGATTGGCCGCCTCTCCGCCGGCCGCGCGCTGATTGGCCACCGTCTGTCCCGGCAGGCGGCCGCGCCGACCCGGCGGCGGTAGCGCGGCCTCCGACGCCGGGCGCGCGCGCAGTGCCGGGCCGCCCCTCCAGCGGCGGCGGTGGGCGCGCTCGCAGCGGCTCGCCTGCCGTGGGCGGGCCGGGCGGCCTGGACGGGCCCGTCGAGCTGACCGTGACCAACCTGGACGCCAGCCGCCACCCGCGCGACGCCGAGAAGGTCCTCTACGACCTGGCCATCCGCCACGCCAAGGTACGCTTCGCCGGCGGCGGTCGGGGCAGGTGGTGCTGCTAGCACTGGTGCCTCTGCGCTGAGCTGAACAGCGGGGTGTCCCAGAACCGTGGCAGAGCTGTCGTCTGTCAAGGCGCGTTGCGACGTCCGAATCGTTTTCTGGCCAACACCCTATTGTGTGATCGCTGAGCCGTCGTGTGGCGTTAATGTTAACACAGAGCTCGATCTCGGCTGTGTCCTGTGCTTTGTGAGGTAGCATGGCTTCAGACGGTGCGTAACCGTCCTTCCGTACGTAAGGAGCGGCGGGCTGGATGTCTTCTACAGTCTCTGGGACGTCATCCCCGCACGGGTGGACGGCGTATCGGTGCCCTGTGCGTACAGTTTCTGACGCATGGACCCAACTCATGCGGACGGCTGGCTCTACAGTCTCTGACGTGTCACCCCTGGCCGAGTGGGCGGCTGGTCGTTTTAGTGTCCCGCACAGTCTCTGGCACGCGACCCATGCGTGCACGTGCGGCGTATCCGGTGTCCCGCACAACCTCTGACCCGCCGCCTCCTGCACGGCCGGGGGACGCGTCCGTATCCAGTCCAGTCTCTGACACCCTTTCCGGCGCAGGTGGAGAGCGTGTTGGTGTACTGCCAGTCGGACGGCTCGCTGGTGGGCACCATCTCGGTGCCGACGCTGTACGACTCGCAGGCGCTGATCGCTGAGATGCACCGCGCCGTGGTGGGCACCAAGCGCATCATGCTGGCGTACGCCCGCACCGACCGTCCCGACCCGTACAAGATACGGTACGACCTCCCCCGCCTCCCCCTCCGGGAGGGTCGAAACCTCCGGCTGGTTACCCGGAGAGCGGGCAGTGTGGGCAGACAACGACGTGGTCGTTGTGTGCGTGTGTAGGTGTGTGCGTGTGCGTGTGCGTGTGCGTGTGCGTGTGCGTGTGGATGTGGATGTGGATGTGTGTCTGCGTGTATGTGTGTGCGTGTGCGTGTGCGTGTGCGATGTGTGCGTGCGTGTGGATGTGGATGTGGATGTATGATGTGTGACGTGTGTGTGTTATGTGGACGGCCTGGTTCCGACAAGAGAGGCCCTGTGTTGTTTGGACAGCTACAGCCCACGACTTGTGTCCTGGTCGGTCGTGCTCGTTGTGATTGGTTAAATGCTCCGAGGTCTTGTGACGATTTGGCGGCTATGTCCGCTGGTTGGCCGCTTGAATCTGCAACGCGCCCTCGATTGGCGGCGGTGTTTGTGACGCGCCCTCCGATTGGCGGCCTGCGGTCAGGACGCAGGTGATTCGGCTGCTGAACGACGTGCCATCGGGCCAGCTGCCGCTGGTGAAGTTCATGGAGCTGTACGAGCAGCGCTTCCACAACACCGTCTCCATCGCCGACCTGTTCAGGTCAGCGTCGCTGGGCGCGGCGTCTGCCGGCCCGCCGGCGGCACCGGTCTCCGCCTCGATGCCGTTACGACCCCGGCTGTCGGGCCTGCCCCAGCTGCTCGATGTTTACGAGGCTGGGGTGGCTGCCCGCCAAGCTCCGCCGTGCAGTGCAGCTTTTGGATTCACTAGTATTGCGTCGTTTACGAGGCAACCTTTTAGTTCGTTTTTTTGTGCGGGTTAAGTTTAAGTGTCTTTCGTGACACTTCAATTCCATTTGCATTTTGTCTCGGTAGTCTCTATGTATGCCCTGTTCTTCCGCATCGTATCATGCCTCAGTCTGGATGCTGGCATCACGCCATAGTCGCTGAGATTCCGTGGAATGGTTCGTGCCAGCTTGCGGTGCGGTCTCTTAAGCAGATGTCCATAACATTGGGTATGCTATCTCTCACGCGCACTGTATCAGCTTGCCTAACAATATCGAGCTTACTGACCTGTCGGTGTCTCAGTATCGCAGCTATGCATTGTTTGCATTTCCCAAAGCAGTTTTTGTGATCGAACCTACCAACGAGTACTTGTTTTACAAAAATGCTCAGAGTCCTGTTTCTTTACTGTCCGAAATTGGCTGCCACCGGCTATTTTAGCTGTGAACGCGCTCGATTCCTTTCTCTCTCTTCGATCGGCGATAGCTAGCATCCCTGCGCATGGGCGCGTGCTTTCTCCACTCTGCTCAACTCGTGCTCGTAGTCTAACGCGCACTCGGTGCGACCAAGCTCCTAACGCTACCGGCGCGGTGAGCTTTCGTTCCTTTCCTGCAGTACACCGGGTCGGTCTGCTGTTGCTGCATAACATACTCGTAGCATAACGCTTCTTCATGCATTTTCATGCATTTCGGTTAGGTTTCCTGCACTACACCGGGTCGGGTGCTGTGCAGCATAACATGCCTTGCAGCATAACGCTTCTTCATGCATTCGGTTTTCTGGTGGCGGGCGTTTCTCACCTGCTGCCTTTGTTGCCTTCGGTTGCGGACGGCGTTTCGCGTATCCTAGAGCGGCACAGACTGCCCCCGGGGCGGGCAGTGCTACTTGACCACGCTGGCCGCCTGCTGGCTGCTCCGTGGATCTACGCTCGCCTCCCCGGGGGTGTGCGGGTCTGCTGCTGGTCTCCGGGAGGCTGGCACGGACCCGACAGCTCCTCAGCGTAGTGGTCCCGCCCGCTCGGCCTGGACGCTGCTAACATCGCCGCGGGTGGTCCATTGGCTTCGGGGTGTAGGTCGCCTTGCCGCTCAGTTACCGCTGGTGGCGGCGCCGCCGGACGGTCCGTTGCCAACCGCTCTTTGGGAGAGGGGGGGCCGGTGGGCGACGTCGTGCCGCCCCGTGTCGGCTGTGTTCTACGGCCGCTCACACCCTACTGCGCGCCAGTGTTTGTTTGGCGATGTTGAAAGCTCGCTCTGCCCCATATACCTCGGTCCGAGGGTTCCTTCGGCTTCTTTGCAACTTTTCGCGCTGGCTCGGCGTCTGGATCTGGGCCTTGTATGGCGCCCTCAGGAATGACAGCTGACGGCGCAGTGTGCGGGCGGGCCTTTTGTCGCGAGCTGCCTCTCGTCGCTTTTCGTTGCCTGCCCGTATGCACCCATGCATGCATGTAACGTGTTGACCATGTTGTGAAATTAAGGAGACGTCAACATGCCAGCGGTATTACGTGGGACGTATGGGAAGTACCGTAGATGTCGCTATCCCGCTAACTATCCCAGTCGTGGTGGCTTGTTGCCGCATGCGTTCTCGCGTCCAGAACGAATCAAATCTAAGACATAGCGCCGGATCTCTGCGTGAAGGCTCCCGCGTCGGCGTTGCCATGGCGGCGGGCTGTGCCGCGGACTCCACCAGCCTGTGCGTGACGCGGAGCCGGGCCGGCGGGCTGCAGGTGCCGGCCGGCGCCGCCCGGTCTGCGCTGTGTGGTCCGCGGGCCGCCGGCGCCGCCCCCTCAGCGGCCCCGCCCCTCAGCGGCCCCGCTGTGCCGCAGGATGCGCGAGACTGTGACGGTGGTGGACAGCAGCAGCGGACGCGTTATCCAGCTGAACCCGATGCTGAAGACCCAGGACCACGTGAGTGCCACCACTGCTCCGTGCTGTGCTGGGCGACGCTCCGCCCAGCCGGTTGTTGCGTATGAGCGCTGTGGCTCGTATCCAGTGTCAATTACCCGATGACTCACCATGAAGGTTTTGGTGTCTCTGCGAGCTATGGTGCCTGTCAGAGCTGTTGATGCACCTGGCATCGTGCGGATGTGCGGGTATGACTTGCTGTCAACGCTTTTTTGCATAGTTGCAGGGCAATTTACTTGATAAATCGCAGACATGGCGGCTTTATGAATCAGTAAGCTTCTTGTGATGCCATGCGCTCAAAATTGAACAAACTTCCGGAAGTGTTTTGCTTTTTGAACATGATATTGCCGAAGATTTACATTTATTGGCAGCATTCGGCAGTTGAGATTTTGGCTTCCTGTTCCTATGTGCAGTTCACCTGTACTTGACTTTGAAAAACCCGAGGCTCTCATGATAACGCCAAATTCAGCTGCCCACATGACGTCCCAATGTCTGATGTGATGTCGTGCTGCGAGCCCGAGAGTTCGCACACACGCACGCACGCACGCACGCCGGCAGGGCTGCGGCGTCCGACCGCCGGCCGCCTCGGCGTGCGCGCGCCACCCGCCTCAGCGCGGCGCCACCGTCGGCTGGGCGGAGCTCGACGACCCCAGCGTGCTGCCCAACAGCGACGTGGCACTGGAGGAGCTGGAGCGCGTGGTGCGCCATCTTCTGGAGACGCACGACGGCCTGCTGCATCTCTCCAGGTGGGTGTCGGCCCGCTTCTGGTGTACAGGACCTGGCCAGGGGGCGTGACACCTCTCCGGGATTAGGGACATCTCTAGGTGACGACGTGGTCGCTCAGTGGTATAGGACCTCTCTAGGTGGGAAAGGCCTGTGCTGTAAGGGCGGTGAGGTCGTTGCTACGGTGCCGTCCTGTGTAAGCATGGGCCGCTCCAGGGCACACGAGGCATTTCCTTACGACCACCTGACTCCAGGCTGGTGTGAGATCTCCCGGAGCTGACCAATCCCTCTGCTGGACGAATGGCTGCGTAACCATGCCCGTCTCGCACGCGCCAATTGGGACCTTGACACCACCTACGTGCGGTTGTCAGAACACGGCGCGGCACGTGCGCTCGGAGCCACACCCACGTGTCTGGCTCTGACTGGGCTGTGACCTGTCTGACTGACCCGGCAGCCTGCTGGACTGTGACGTGTCTGACTGACCCGGCAGACTGCCGGACTGTGACGTGTCTGCCTGACTCGGCAGCCTGCTGGAATGTGACGCGTCTGACTGACCCGGCAGCCTGCTGGACCTGTGACGTGTCTGACTGACCCGGCAGCCTGCTGGGCTGTGACGTGTCTGACTGACCCGGCAGCCTGCTGGACTGTGACGTGTCTGACCCGGCAGCCTGCTGGGACTGTGGACGTGCCTGACTGACCCGGCAGCCTGCTGGACTGTGACGTGTCTGACCCGGCAGCCTACTGGACTGTGACGTGCCTGACTGACCCGGCAGCCTGCTGGACTGTGACGTGTCTGACTGACCCGACAGCCTGCTGGATTGTGACTTGTCTGACTGACCCGGCAGCCTGCTGGACCTGTGACTTGTCTGACTGACCCGGCAGCCTGCTGGACTATGACTTGTCTGACTGACCCGGCAGCCTGCTGGACTGTGACGTGTCTGCCTGACCCGGCAGCCTGCTGGACCGTGACTTGTCTGACTGGCCCGGCAGCCTGCTGGACTGTTACGCGGCCGAGTTCCACGACCCGGCGCTGGCGCGGCTGCGGCTGGACCCGGCCGCCGTCTGCCTGGAGCACCTCATCACCTGCCTGGCCGACGTGCGCGTGGTGACGCGCGGCCAGGACAAGCTGGTGGTCTGGGCACGTGACTCGCCCGAGGGTGAGAGACGCTCCGCGGCCCGCAGGCAGCGGTCTGGCGAGCGGATGGGCTGGGGGTCGGCTGACGCGGTATGGGCGGGGCGAGGTTGTCTGAAGTGGTCTTGGTTCGGCCTTAGACCCCGGGCTGGGTCGTGGTTCAGGTTTGGCTTCTGTGAGCGCAAAGCTGTCGTTTGCAGTGCGTTGTGTTTTGGAGTAACCCGTGGTAACCACTTAAATCATGGTGGTTCATAGTTCAGGGTCGGACTGGTCGTAGCCGTGTCATGCTACGACGGCAGAGGCGAAGGGGGCAGATGCAGAGACGAGGGCAGTCGATGGCGGGAGAGGTCGGAGGTGCCTGATCGGCGGCCCGCTCTGGCGTAGTCACCTCGGATCGTCGTTGCGCCGGCCCCGCCGTCGGCTGCCGTCGGCTGCCGTCGGCTTCTCTGACGGCGCGCGGCGTCCGTGCCCCGCAGACGAGCCGGCCCCGGTGAACCCCAGCCTGCAGCAGAAGGTGGTGCTGTTCTCGCGCGAGGTGGTGGACTTGCTGCGCGCGGCGCCGCGGGCCCGCATGCCCTTCAACAGGTGCGTCGGCTACCGAACCGTCCCGCTGGAGGCAGTCCCGTGCTTCGAAGGCAGGCCTGTTTAATGTTGGTCGGGCGTGTGGGAGCACGACAAAAGTGTGCGGTCAGCCGATTGTTGGTCTAAAAGAGCAACTATTAAATGACAGATGGTTGCAAACCGCTTAAATATTGACTCTGGGTGGTGTAGAGTTCATGAATGTCGGACTTTTCTCATGGAGTTCACCAGAACGGTCAAACACAATTGAAAAACGGTCACGGAGTGGACGCATGCGGCCGCACAATACACTCATTCCCTGTGCATTTATGTGAACTTGAGCATCGCGCATCCGACATGGCGTTCGTCATCAGCTCCAGCAAGGTCTGGCGCACCGCTGACGGCATAGCGTCCTTGACCTCCTTTTCCAGGTTCATCCCAGCGTACCACCATCACTTCGGTCGGCAGTGCCGCGTCTCCGACTACGGGTTCACCAGGCTGGCCGACCTGTTCGACGTGTTGCCGCAGATCGTGCAGGTGGGCCACGCTGTGCCGCGCCGGGGTCCTGCGGCAGCGGCGCCGGGGGGTGGGTCACTGCCGGACTTTAGCTCTGACCTCTCGGCGTCGGGTGTTGTGCCGAACCTTGACCTGGTGCTGTGCGGACCGCCGCTGGGTAACTGTATTGGTCACCTGGCACTAGGCTGTATGTATCTCCCGCTCCTCCGTAAGTACTGGGTTGGCCCCTGACCAACAAGTTGTTCTCCCCTCTGACACTGCTGCACTGGCCTCCCCTGTCCCCAGGTGCTGTGCTCTCCCCTCACGCTGCTGTTCTGACCTCCCACTGTCCCCAGGTGCCGTGCTCTCCCCTCGCACGGCTGTACTGACCTCCCCTTGTTTCCAGGTGCTGTACTGCCTCTCCCCTGACACCGCTGTTCTGACCTCCCACTGTCCCCAGGTGCCGTGCTCTCCCCTCGCACGGCTGTACTGACCTCCCCTTGTTTCCAGGTGCTGTACTGTCTCTCCCCTGACACCGCTGTTCTGACCTCCCACTGTCCCCAGGTGTTGTGCTCTCCCCTCGCTATGCTGTACTGATCTCCCCCTGTCCCCAGGTGCTGTACTCTCCCGTGACACCGCTGTTCTGACCTCCCCTCTCCCCCGGTGCTGTACTGTCCCCTCGCACTGCTGTATTGACCTCCCTTGTCCCCTGATACTGTGTTGTCTTCTCGCACTGTAGCACTTGCCTCCCCTGTCCCCAGGTGCTGTGCTCCTGGGGACAGGGGAGGCAAGTGCTACAGTGCGAGTGCAAGTGCTCCCTCGCCCTGCTGTACTGACCCCCCCCCCCCCTGTCCTCAGGTGCTGTACTTTCCTCTGACACCGCTGTTATGACCTCCCGTGTCACCAGGTGCTGGGCGTCTCTCCCCTGACACCGCTGTTATGACCTCCCCGTGTCACAGGTGCTGGGCTGTCTCTCCCCTGACACCGCTGTTATGACCTCCCGTGTCACCAGGTGCTGTTCTGTCCCTTCACACTGCTACACTGACCTCCACCCCCGTTCCCAGGGTGCTGGGCTGCGGTCACCGTCGCGTCATCACGCTGACGCCGCGCGCCCAGGAGCGCCGCTTCCTCTCGGACCTGCTGCGCGTGCTGAAGGCGGCAGCACTCGAAGCAGCTTGGCCGTGACGGCCCTGCCGCAGGGCCTTCTCCGAGGTCACCGGCCCGCGAGTTCACCGTCTGGGACTAACGGCGCCACGCGGCTGCACACGCTCCTCTCGACCGTCAACGGTGGGTGACGCGAGCGCTGCCGGCGCGGCGGACGGCGCGGCACGGGTCCCCGCACCGGCCACGCTCTCGTGACAGCGCGGGATGGCACGCCATTGGGTGACGTGTCACTGAGTGATACGTAACTGGGTGTTATGTCCTGGGTGACGCGTCACTGGGTGATACGTCACTGCGTGACGCGTCACTGGGTGACTCATCACTGGGCGGTGGATACGCTGTTCTCCGCGGTATGGGCGGCGCGTCACTAGTGGTTCATTGGGCACGTTTGCTGCTCGCTGTTGCGGTGTGAAGGCAGTCGTCTTTGTGGTGATTTCGTGTGACACTTCACGTCTCCGTGTTGTCGCGTGTCCCACTTAGAAGTGTCTGTGGAACCTCTTTTCCTTGTGTGCAAACAATCTGCTCTTTCGTTTGTATGTTAAAGCGTCCGTTCTTTTGTTGCGCGAAGGTAACCCTTTTCCCCTCAAAAGCTGTGGGTCCTGCCTGCGTGCTCTGGGGCCGTTTCTCCTGCAACGAAAGCTCTTACAATCACGTGCTTAGTTGGTCTGGATATTCGATGGCAACATTTCCCAGCACAACTCGCCTTGATGGGCGATCTTGGCGAAGTTCCCTCGGGCAGTGCCAGTCAACCGGTTATCGGTACGGTGAGCGGTTTTAGCTGTTTCTTACATTACATAATGTCCGATCTCGTGGTTTTCGTGCGGCCCCAGGCGACACGGCGGTGCTCCCTGACGCTCGTGTCTCTGTGCGCTCGTGCGGCAGGCGACAGCGTGGTGGTGTAACAAACAGGACGGTGATCTGCGCGTGGCCATAACCGCGTCGCGAGCATACGCCCGAGGAGATGCAGAAGACCAAGCACTTCGCCACGGAGGTACGCGCGAGGCCCAGACCCTGGTGGCTGATCTGTTGAACGTGAACTAGGGAGATGTGGAAATCCGACACTTGCTGTCAAACACTTGCTACAATGGAGCAAGTCTTGGTCTCCAAAAAGCATCGCCTTTCCAAGCCCCTTTTTCTCTTTTTCTGTCCTGTTTGTCTAGACAAAAGTGTTGGGAGCGCATGGCGAATAGTCATCGATTCATGGTTTGCATGGAACGGAAAACACATGGCGTCATCTCTTGTGTGGACAGTTCAAATGACACTTGTTGCGAAGCTACACCACGATTGGACGGGAGATACGTGAACCAAACATTTTGTGTTGTGATATGCTGTGACAAGATCCAACAAAGGGTACCCGGCCTATATGTATGATTATTCTACTGGGTCAGGGCGCAGGCTTGGGAGATGCTGACTCAGCAACATGCGTTTTTTGTTTTTTTTAAAGCGAGAGTAAGAAAGGCGGTCAATGCGATACTTTACTGTGGTGATATCATACCCTGACAGACCATACCATATTCTGCCGGTACCACAACATGACGATGTCATGCCCTGACGACACCATACACCGACATGCCATGCCCTGACGATGTCGTGCCCTGACGATACCACACACACTGACATATCATGCCCTGACGATGTCGTGCCCTGACGATTTCGTGCCCTGACGATGTCATGCCCTGACGATGTCATGCCCTGACGATGTCGTGCCCTGACGATGTCATGCCCTGACGATGTCATGCCCTGACGATGTCGTGCCCTGACGATGTCATGCCCTGACGATGTCGTGCCCTGACGATGTCGTGCCCTGACGATGTCGTGCCCTGACGATACCATGCCCTGACGATACCCTACACGGACATACCATGCCCTGACGATACCCTACACGGACATACCATGCCCTGACGATACCCTACACGGACATACCATGCCCTGACGATACCATGCCCTGACGATACCCTACACGGACATACCATGCCCTGACGATACCCTACACGGACATACCATGCCCTGACGATACCATGCCCTGACGATACCCTACACGGACATACCATGCCCTGACGATGTCATGCCCTGACGATGTCATGCCCTGACGATGTCGTGCCCTGACGATGTCATGCCCTGACGATGTCATGCCCTGACGATACCCTACACGGACATACCATGCCCTGACGATGTCATGCCCTGACGATGTCATGCCCTGACGATGTCATGCCCTGACGATGTCATGCCCTGACGATGTCGTGCCCTGACGATGTCGTGCCCTGACGATGTCATGCCCTGACGATACCATGCCCTGACGATGTCGTGCCCTGACGATGTCGTGCCCTGACGATGTCATGCCCTGACGATACCATGCCCTGACGATACCCTACACGGACATACCATGCCCTGACGATACCATGCCCTGACGATACCCTACACGGACATACCATGCCCTGACGATGTCATGCCCTGACGATGTCATGCCCCGACGATGTCGTGCCCTGACGATGTCATGCCCTGACGATGTCGTGCCCTGACGATGTCGTGCCCTGACGATGTCATGCCCTGACGATGCCATGCCCTGACGATGTCATGCCCTGACGATACCATGCCCTGACGATACCCTACACGGACATACCATGCCCTGACGATACCATGCCCTGACGATACCCTACACGGACATACCATGCCCTGACGATGTCGTGCCCTGACGATGTCGTGCCCTGACGATGTCGTGCCCTGGCGATATTATGCCCTGACGATACCATGCCCTGACGATACCCTACACGGACATACCATGCCCTGGCGATGTCATGCCCTGACGATGTCATGCCCTGACGATGTCGTGCCCTGACGATGTCGTGCCCTGACGATACCATGCCCTGACGATACCCTACACGGACATACCATGCCCTGACGATACCATGCCCTGACGATACCCTACACGGACATACCATGCCCTGACGTGTCGTGCCCTGACGATGTCGTGCCCTGACGATGTCGTGCCCTGACGATACCATGCCCTGACGATACCCTACACGGACATACCATGCCCTGACGATACCATGCCCTGACGATACCCTACACGGACATACCATGCCCTGACGATGTCGTGCCCTGACGATGTCGTGCCCTGACGATGTCGTGCCCTGGCGATATTATGCCCTGACGATACCATGCCCTGACGATACCCTACACGGACATACCATGCCCTGGCGATGTCATGCCCTGACGATGTCATGCCCTGACGATGTCGTGCCCTGACGATGTCGTGCCCTGACGATACCATGCCCTGACGATACCCTACACGGACATACCATGCCCTGACGATGTCATGCCCTGACGATGTCGTGCCCTGACGATGTCATGCCCTGACGATACCCTACACGGACATACCATGCCCTGACGATGTCGTGCCCTGACGATGTCATGCCCTGACGATGTCATGCCCTGACGATGTCGTGCCCTGACGATACCATGCCCTGACGATACCATGCCCTGACGATACCCTACACGGACATACCATGCCCTGACGATGTCGTGCCCTGACGATGTCGTGCCCTGACGATACCATGCCCTGACGATGTCATGCCCTGACGATGTCATGCCCTGACGATGTCGTGCCCTGACGATGTCATGCCCTGACGATACCATGCCCTGACGATGTCATGCCCTGACGATACCCTACACGGACATACCATGCCCTGACGATGTCGTGCCCTGACGATGTCATGCCCTGACGATGTCATGCCCTGACGATGTCGTGCCCTGACGATACCATGCCCTGACGATACCATGCCCTGACGATACCCTACACGGACATACCATGCCCTGACGATGTCTTGCCCTGCCGATGTCGTGCCCTGACGATTCCATGCCCTGACGATACCCTACACGGACATACCATGCCCTGACGATACCATGCCCTGACGATGTCGTGCCCTGACGATGTCATGCCCTGACGATACCCTACACGGACATACCATGCCCTGACGATACCATGCCCTGACGATACCCTACACGGACATACCATGCCCTGACGATGTCGTGCCCTGACGATACCATGCCCTGACGATGTCGTGCCCTGACGATATCATGCCCTGACGATACCATGCCCTGACGATACCATGCCCTGACGATACCCTACACGACATACCATGCCCTGACGATGTCATGCCCTGACGATGCCATGCCCTGACGATACCATGCCATGACGATACCTCCTGACGATACTGCGTCCAGATGACGCAGGTGCTGATCCGTCAGGTGAAAGAGCTGCTGCGACACGTGCCGTTCTGCCAAATGCAGTTCAACAAGTTTCATCCGGCGTACCACCACCACTTCGGCCGACAGTGCCGCGTCTCCGACTACGGCTTCGGGCAAGCTGGCCGAGCTGTTCGATGGCCGTGCCAGACACCGTACAGGCGAGTGTGCACCGTATCAGAGACCGTACCCTCCCGTGTCGTCCCTGAACTCCCGTGTAGACGCGCGTCTGTATTGTACAGACTGTACACTAAGCCACTGGAGTCACCACGCCGCCAGGTGGTTACGTAACACCGCACGCCGCACAACGCCTTTGTGAAAAAGTCGCGTTGTGCCACCTGTATGGACCTTGTGTGACCTTGACCCCTGTGACCCGACAGGTGACCTCTGACGAGGACGGCGAGAAGCTGATCCAGCTGACGCGGACCGCTCTGCGCTCCATTGCTCTCGGACCAGCTGGTGACGCTGCTCCAGAACGCGGGGGTACGTGGCCAGCCCCCGAACGGGGTGCGATCGTGGGACGCAGCGCTGGTGACCGCTGCACACCGTGGCTGGGTGGCTGGGCTTGCTTCTGGATTGGCCGAGTTGGTGCTGTGTTCGCATGCGTGCTGCGGCGGCCCATGTTTGTGCCAGCCAGTTGGCTTGGGAGCATGCTGCGTAGATCACTTCATACCATCGGCGAAATGTGTTGGAACGCGCAAACGGAACTGAATCAGTCCGGCGTTACCGCCCATGTACATGACGCGGCGTTGCTGGCTCATGCTGTTGCGCAGGACGCGCTCCTCTGCGGCGGAGCGTGCGACTGTGCGACCGTGCTGCCTTGCGGCCGTGCGGCCGTGCGGCTGTGCGGTCCGCACGGGCCGGCTGTGCGGTGTAGCCAGCTGTAGAGCGTCGGCTCCAATCGCAGGTGGAGTCGGTGGGCCTGGAGGAGCTGTGCGCCCTCTTCCTGCGCGAGTTCGGCTACCGGCTCACCCGACGCTGTACGGCGGCGCCACCGTCCGAGAGCTGGTGCGTGCCGTGTTACCGCGCTGGTGCCCGTCCCGCCACTGCTGGACTACCGCCGTTCACCGTCGTCACTACCGTCCACCTTCATCAACCGTCCACCGCCATCACCACCGTCCACCTTTGTCACTACAGTCCACCGTCCGCCGCCCGGTCCCGTTACAGGAGTCCACTCACTGTCCACCACCGGGTCCCGCTACAGCTGTCCACTCATTGTCCACCGTTTGGTTCCGTCCGGGGCTGTGAACAGCTCCGCATACGGCCTCTTCCGCACAACCCTACACACGTACTCACCCAGGTGGGAGTCACCAGGGCGACTCCCACGTATCCAGGATGGAGTTCGCCCCTGGTTTGTTTTGCCATTCGCAGGTTTTTTTCCCACCGCAGTAAAGACTTCAGAGCCAATATTGTTGTTTTTCCATATTTTTTACCAGTACATACTTCGCGGCTTCGAAAGGGGCATGACTACTGCCCTTCATGCGGCCCTGATTGTACGGAGCCGTGCGGTCGTGTGCCTGGAGGCTCATGTGGGGCCGGTTCCGCTCCACAGATGGTCGCAGCTCTGCCGCTCCGGTGGTGCGGCTGGGCGGCGCTCCTGATGCGCCCCGGGTCTTCCTGGTTCAACCGCCAGCACCTGCGGCAGGGCCGCCGTCAACGTGCGGACCCTGCTCATGAACAGGTTACAAGGTACACAGGTACAGGTACAAGCGGGACATCGGTCAGCGGGGGGGGGGGAGGGGGGACAGCAGCGGCAAGACATCGGTTAGCGGTCACGGGCGTGATGCGTCTGTCGACTTACCAAGAGCAGCTGAGTGTGGGGTGCCGAACTCTCTGTGCTGCTGGGACGGCAGTCGCCAATCGCGGCTCAAGCACGCGCTCACCGGCGCTGCTGCCACCTCCGAGCAGCGCCCGCGTCAGCTGGTTAGTGGACTCCGGCCGCGTCGGTGCCTGCTCCCGCGCTATCCCTGGTGCCGAGTTGTCGCGTTGGTGCGGCGCGCCGCCTGCCCGGCTGGGGACCTGACCCGACTCCACGGCCCGCCGCCAGCCGGGCGGCAGCATGCCGCTGGAGCAGCTGGTGGAGCAGCACGGCCGCCGGTTCCAGCGGGCGCTCAGGCCTGGACGCGCTCACCGGCGACCTGCAGCACGTGGTCAAGGTGCGGGAGGAGGACAGGCGTGGTCCCGGTGAGGTGGAACGGAGCCGCGCGCCGGTCACGGGCCCGGGGAGGGTCGCGGTCTGTTAGGGTGATGTTGAAGCGTGGTCCTGCCGCGGCGGGGGGGGGGGGGGGGTGTCGGAGCGGAAAGGGTAGGGAGGCGGGCAGTGGATGGGGGCAGGTGGGGTCCTGTCTTGACAGGTGTTGCCCGAGGTGACGCCCTTGTCGTTCTTCTCTCCTGTTCCGAATGTGTTCCCCCCAAAGGCGCAGACAGTCATCGGACGAATTGCTCATCGTTTGTGGGTGACTGAACTAGTAGCTACTGAACTAAATAACTTTTTCTGACTGAACTAGTCTGATATCCTCGTCGAAGTAGCGAAGCGCCTATCTGTGCGATGAATCACGTGGTGTTTTTGGACGCGAACAGCTCTGGTGGCTTCACGGGAAGAGCAGCCTCTGGCTTCTCTGCAGCTGTGTCTGCTTGAGGCCATCACTGATTGTTATTGCCTACCTCTGGTTTACAAAGGCTGTAATCACGTCACAGCAGGCGACCTGCCTTGATAACATCAGCGGAACCGTCGAGAACGTTGTGTTTGCCGCGCTCAGTCTGTCCCGACGCCGCGCTGTCCACCCGCGCCGTGAGCTCGCCCGACGCCACGTGGTTGGGGCGTGGCCCCTCCCCTTCCCCGCCGGGTCGGTCCCTCCGCCGACCGTCGGCCCGCTTGCATCACCGCTCGCTCCGCTCCGCCCGCGCAGGTGGAGGCCGCGTCGCCGGGCGGCGGCCGCGTCGTCTCGCTCCTGCCGATCCAGCTGCTGGCGCGTGACGTCATCCGGCTGCTGCGTCGCCACGGCAACCGTCTGCTGGTGTCTGCGTTCCACTCGGCGTACCTGGCCGAGTTTGGCGTGGCGGCGCGGCCGGCCCAGTTCGGCTTCCATAGTGCGCTGGCGCTGCTGGAGGCCATCGATGACACGGTCTTCCTGCGCGGCAGGGGTCAGTGCAGGACGGGGATGGAGGGGGGTGGGAGGATGTCTAGGTGTGAGCCAGGGGTCAACGCAGGAGTGAGTTGGAGAGGGATGTCTCGGCTGTGCCAGGGGTTTGTGCAGGATGGAGTTCAAGGGCAGTGTATCCTGTCCAGGTGTGAGGGAGGGAAGGCTCCATTCAGCATCAATCGTCATCCGCCTGGATGGTGGGTCGCGGCGCCGGACAGCGTTTAGGTGCAGCGCCATCTAACAGTGTACATTGTATTTTGATGCCTAGTTTCCCCGTGACTTCGGATAAACTTGGAGAGACAAACTGGTGCAGATTCCAACTGTGTGCTGAATTTGCTGCTGAACGTGTCTTGTGCTTGCTGGCGTTGAAGATGTTGAACGTGTTTGTGCCTGCTGGAGCTGTTGCTGAACGTGTGTTGTGCCTGCTGGAGCTGTTGCTGAACGTGTGTTGTGCTTACTGGCGTTGAAAATGTTGAACGTGTTGTCTGCTGGAGTTGTAGATGGTTAGCTCTGTTCGGTTTGGCGTCCATTGTTATTCGGCGCTGTGGGCATAGTTGGTTGCGCGTATTGCCACATCTTGTCCTTCTTGATTTTGGACTTGGCACTTTGCCCCTGGCGGCGTTGACCGCTGACCCGCGTCCGCGCCTCCGGTGCCGCAGGTGCCCAGCGCTACGTGCACCTGCTGCGGGAGTTCAGCGGCGAGGGGGGCTCGGGAGACGGCCGACCGCCGGCGAAGCAGGAGGCTCGGGCGGCCGGCCGCGAGCCGCCGCCGCCGCCACCGCCGCTGCAGCCGCTAGCCGCCCTACACGGTACGCTCACGCGCTGAACCCTGCGGGGTGTGGAGGTACAACTTGCCGGGGATGTCGGCTGCCGTTTCAATTGTTGACCCGTAGGGATTTGTCGGACCTGCGTTGTAGCGGGACGTTGGATATGACGTGACATGGCGGTACCTTTTTCAGGCGAGTCGGGCGACTTCGCGCGACGGGCTCCGTCTCCGAGCATGCAGGTATGCAGCTTGTAAATTGAACACGCTCCCCCCTCCCCCTCTCGCTCCGCCGTGGGGGACTGCCATGCCTCTGGACTTCTGTTGGAACCTGACACAGCCTCTGTTCAGACACGCGTGTCGTGTTCTAGTTCAATGAACGGTGCCGTGGTACGGCATGCCCTGTCGCACAGTTGGGCATCAGATGTGTCGTGCTCATGCCTTGTCGTCACAGTCACGCAGTGTTCTGTTGCACTCACTACCCATACCAAGTGCCCAATCTTTCACTGTGATAAAGATAGATAAGGCTGGCTGGGCACGGGCTTGTGTCTTTTCGTGCCTCGCGCTGCATGTTCTCTCTGGCCCCCTGTCGCCGCTCCGGATCTCCGAACACTCCCCCTCCCCTTGATCCCCTTGATCCCTCTGCCTCGATCCCTCCCCATTGATCCCCTCGATCCCTCAGCCTTGATCCCTTCCACGCTCCTTCCGCCTCGATTTCTCCGCCTCGATCCCTCTCTCTCGATCCCTCTCTTTCGGTCACTGTCCCTCGATCCCTGCTCCTCGATCCCTCCACCTCTATTCCCCCCGCGATCCCTTCCCCTCGATACCTCCCCCGAACCCTCCTCCTAGAACCCTCCCCGATTCCTCCCCCACGATCCCTCCCCCTCGATCCCCCCTCGATCCATCCCTCCCCCCTAT